TTATGAATGAGAAGGTGAAGCTTAAAGAGGTTAAGTACCCAATGTGAATGTTTAGTTAGCATTCCAAGAAGAATCATAAAATGAGATGTGAATCAAATTCAATCTGACTTCAATCTATGCTTTAAAAACTATACTAATTTACATGAGCTGTTATGATTACGCAACGCTGAAGCGTTCAACTCCCACAGGACTGTCATTATGAGCTTGGCACAAGTCAAGGGCCATGCTTGTTGGATAAGAAATTAGAAAACACTCAAAATGTGTTCTTTAAACGCACAGCAAAAAAACATAGAACTGCTAACTCAAATGTTCAAGATGTAAATATATCCCAGCTACTCAGGAGGCTGAGGCAGGAGAATCAGTTGAACCAAGGAGGCGGAGGTTACAGTGAGCTGAGATAGCGCTGCTGCACTCCAGCCAGGCTGGTGACAGCGCGAGATTCTGTCTCAAAAAAAAAAAAAAAAAAAAAAAAAAAGATTGAAATATAACAACAGAGAAAGAGGATAATTTACAGCAAAAGTCTACTGCATAACACAGAACAAAATTGTTTTCTCGGGTTTAAGCAAATACTTCATATGGAAAACCAAGTTGAATTCATTATTACTTTTAATGAAAGAAATGGTCACGTGACAATTGTACACTGAGCTCCCTGTTCATCCCTGAGGAAAGGCTAAGTCCCGGCAGAAAGCATTACCAACTTTGGAAAAACTCCAGACAATGAAACAAAGAGACCCAAGACAATAATTATTCTGAAAGGAAGACATTGAAACTGCCCCTGGGTTCTTGTAAGATTAGAAACCCAAGACAGTGGGTATATAAGGAAGAAAATATTTTCTTCATCCATTCAATAAATATTTGCTAAATGTCCTTCATGGGCATGCGTTCCCTTAAGTGTCACAGGACAAAGAGTTTATAGTCTGATAACGGATGTAAGATGTGAATATAAATCACAGGGTTTCAATGGAGGAAAAGACAAGGGCTACCCAAATGTACGATTTGTGATGCTACTGATTATTCTGCAGATTAGAAGTTTGATCCCAGAGTGGTAAATGCATTTCCTTCTGGGTGTTACACAGCATTCAGTGGCAATGTTAATTAAACTAACTCTTATCTTCTGTAAGTCATGCAGGGAAGGTAATGATGAAAGATTGGCATGTACGATAATTTGTTCTCCCAAATAACTGAACTAAAAGATGCCATTTATTACAGTCACATGGTAAATATAATGAATCATTTTTCTCTCTCAGTCTTTCCTTCACCTAGAATGTTTCTTTCAATAAAACATGGCTCTCAATTTTCATTTCTGTGCCAAGAAGCAGGTAGTAATCATAGATAACACTTTTTTTTTTTTAGCATTTCTCCATATGTTACTTAATATATTATTTCAATTAATTTCTGGAGTACCTTGATGCAGAAAGTATTATCGCCTCCATATTATCATGAAAGAAAAAGTACAGCTAGGGAAAAATGAAAAACCCGCCCAGAATTACTCAGCTAGCAATTGGTTTGAGGTGGAATCCACCTTGTCTGGTTTCTGGGTCTACAGGCTTCCTCACATTCGAGGCTGCCTCAGTGTCAGAGGAATCAAGATGAGTCCCTCCAGTCACTTTACTGCCAGCCATGCTGACAAGCCATTCAAGCAGCCACTGCAATGTATCCACAGTAATATTATTTTAACAATGGAACTCAATCACTCAAAAAAAAAAGAGTATATGCTTGCTAATAACTATGACTTATACAAGCTATAAATACTTCCTGACTAGAAGTTTACACTCTACCAACATTCATACACAGCAATTATCAATCTATCCACCTTACGTATTGCTAGGAATTCTTAGATTTGCAGAACAAATGAGAGAACAAGACCTTTACAAGGTGTATTGTGTGGTTCAAACCAGAAGTGTAAAAAGAGGTAGTGACAAGGGGTGAGTGAGACCGAAAAACACTGAGGTGTAATATATACATGAAATGCACAGGGAAGCCAAGGTGAAGATCAAAGGTGTTGGATCACACATCTAGGGATGCAGGACAGTGAGGTGAAGAAAGACAGTTCAGTATCCTCTGGCTCAGATGTGCAGCCAGTATGTCCTGTGGAGTGAAAGGGGCAGCCTCCGTTCCATGAGCATTTCACTTAAAAACCCCTGCTGCTATTCAGCATCTTTGTTTGGGAAAAAAAGCCTCTAATTGCAGGAGAGTTTGCATATTTTCCTACTCAAGTTAATTTCACTACTTTGAGTTTTTTTTTTTTTTTTAAGCCAAGTACAGAATCAGGCAAATGTAAAATGTATGCATTATTGTCAAAAAAAAGTATAAACGGTTAGTAGGGCTTTCCTTTCGAATTCAGTGCCACAGCCTTAAAACTAGATCCACATTTCTTACAGATAGGTTTATGTTTCCTTTATATGTGTTCACATTCTCTCTCATCACTCTTTTTCTTTTTCTCTGACATTATCCATTTCTCCCTTTCCATGTTCCCAGGCTTTTGAAATTTAAATTCTTGATTTTAATACTAACCACGCAGGCTAACAGCAGCAGCTATCTGCCAAGTGACAGATGAGATGGTAGGAGCAAATTTAAATTCATTGTGTTAGGTTTGTTTATTCGGTGTTATAAATCACCACTGCAGAAATCCAGGAGGGGAAAAAAAGCCTTCAAGGTGCAGTCTGTAGTATTGAAAGAAAAGTGACCTTAATACTTTCTTCCTTCCCCTTCGTCTCTTATGTTTTAGTGATTGAAAAAGGAGTGGGGTATGATGAGAGGAAGGGAACGTGAGTAGCCGTGGATCTGAAAGGAAAAATGGTATGTGCTCACAGGCCAGTCTGCTTCCTGCCTGTGTGTGCCTTTACCTGCGGCTGCAGACAGCAGGAGCACACAAACTCAGGAGGATTCTGCAAAGCACCTAGCCGTGTATATTACTTCTCATGGCACTTACCTAAAATCCAATTTCATGGCCAGATGCAGTGGCTCATGCCTATAATCCCAGTTGTGCCTAGGTGGGAAGATTGCTTGAGGCCAGGAGTTCAAGACCAGCCTGGGCAACACAGGGAGACTCCACAGAAACATTTTTAAAATTGTCCAGGCCTAGCAGCTCACACCTGTGGTCCCAGCTACTCAAGAGTCTGAGACAGGAGAATCAGATCGCTTGAGCCTGGGAGGTTGAGGCTGCAGTGAACAGTGATCATACCACTGCACTCCAACCTGGGTGACAGAGGGATACCTCATCTCAAAAAACAATAATTTAAAAATTCAATTTCTTCACTGTCTGTAAAACTGAATGCATTTGTTAATTCAGAATAATCTCATGTAAATAATGTCAAATGCAGTGATATTCAAAAAGTGTCTATGGCAAATATTTGCACAATATAAACATGAGCTAATATGTTCAAGAATTGAAACTAATACCAGTTCTTTCACTGGCCATGCTGCATATTTCAGTGCCTATCTGTTAAAAGCACTAAGACTAGCGTTTAAGGTCAGTGTGTAGATCTGTTTGCTCATAAAACATTAATTGCATAAATGTTAAGGACCAGTTGCCAATAACAATGGTCTAATTCCTCAGGTATACGTATTCCAGTGAGTTTTCCAAAAGCAATTAACTGATAGTTTTAGGGAAAACTATCAGTCGATAAACATGTCATAATATAGTATTTTTTAATGAGTGGGAACAACCTTTTGCTTAACTGCTTATTCTCTTTTTTGAGACGGAGTCTCGCTCTGTTGCCCAGGCTGGAGTGCAGTGGCGCGATCTCGGCTCACTGCAAGCTCCGCCTCCCGGGTTCACGCCATTCTCCTGCCTCAGCCTCCCGAGTAGCTGGGACTACAGGCGCCCATCACCACGCCCAGCTAATTTTTTGTATTTTTAGTAGAGACAGGGTTTCACCGTGTTAGCCAGGATGGTCTCGATCTCCTGACCTCGTGATCCGCCCGCCTTGGCCTCCCAAAGTGCCGGGATTACAGGCGTGAGCCACCACGCCCAGCCTTTGCTTATTTTCATATTGACATGAATATCATGCAATTTTGTGAAATTGTAATTATTTAAATTGTGAATGAGTCAGGATCAGTATGAATGGAAAATTTACTCAGGATTTTTTGAAGGGAGTAGGGAATGGCCTCACTAGATTACAACGCAGAAACCCCAGTCTGTGAATTGGCTCATTTGCCTTTGACCATTTCACTATTTCTTTGCAGCGTTCAGGATGAAAATTTACCCACTCAAGAATAACAATATGCTCCACTCTCTAAAAATTAAAACTCATCTTAGTTCTAAAACACATTTTAAAAGAGCAATGTTTTTATCACGACTCTCGGAAGTGAAAGGGGTGTTGTGTGGGTGTGTGTGTGTTTAGGGAAGTGGCTTCCGATTCCCAGTGAAAATGTTCCCATGAAGTCAACGTTTCCGCAGTAACTCAGGGCACTGTGGCAAGTTCTCAGGAGCTCTAAGGTAATAATCAGACATGTCCTGGCCATTACAATTCCATTTGTGTCAGATGGTGTTATGCATGTATAAATTAAGTAGATGTCACACAAAGGAGACCCATCCCACTTGGGATAAGACTAGGGGCTGGTCCTTAGAAATCAGGAAAGCACAAGGTCTCACCATTTCTTAAAATACTTGCTGCAGATGTGTGTATTCTGTCTCCCTGCATACCTACTATATTCTGAGACAAAGGGACTTCAAAAAGTCCTCAAGAAAACCACACAAACGCTCTAAGTAGCAATGCTTCTGGTAGAAGAGAAACAAAATTCTGTCCCTTCCTTCAAGCCGCCTTAGGATTCATTCTCAGAAAGTTGGACAAAGCATGTTACAGCTTATGTCTGAAAGCCCGCAAAGCCAAGGAGTAAGGATCCAGGAAACGTGCAAGGAGGGTGCCTGGGGGTTATGGAAGTTACTACAAATATTTCATTTCCTAAAGTGTACCTGCGAAGGTGAGTGCGGCAGGCGAAGGGGTCAGGGGTCCCAGCAAAAGGTATACGCGCGCCCGGACCACGCTGCTACTCACGCTTCGCCATCCCCGGAGTCGCCGTCCGAGGCCCCCTCCTCGCCGATGTCAGGCAGGGTAAGGAACAGGGTTCTGGGGCCAGCCCCGGGGGCCACGTAGGCGCCGGGCTCTCGCTCTCCGGAGCCAAACTGGCGCGGGTTCCGCGGGAGCGCGGCCCAGGCCCCGCCGGGGCCCGGGGTCGGCCGTGCTGGGACCACCAGGCGTGCAGGGGAGCAGCCCCCGCCGGAGGGAGTGGGGGGCTGGGGCAGGGCTTTAGCCGCTCTGGGGCTACTGGGCCACGAGAGCAGGGTCCCCACTGCTCCCGCGGCGCGGCTGGCGGTGGAGCCCCGGGAGTAGGAGGCGGGGAGCAGCGGGGCGGGCGCCCGCCGCGAAGCCGAGGGGGAGTCCGGAGCAAGGGCGCGGAGGAGCGTCGGGGTCGGGGCGGTGCCCAGCGGGGTGCCCGCCCTGGAGCCCCCCGACCTTGCAGCGGCAGCACCTCCCGAGGGTCTGGAGGAGGGGCCTGCGGGGGGCGCCGTCGAGGTCTCGAAGAGTTTGGCCAAGAGAGACCCAAGGTCCAGCACAGCAGCCTTCATGCCTCGACAGTGGACACGCCGTCCTCGCCGCCGCCCGAGAGTCCAGACCGCGGGGATCCGGCCGAGGCGGCCCGGGCGGGGGCGAGGAGCCTGGGGTCCCCGCACCCGGAGCCCCGGAGGCCCCTGCCTCCGTCTCCTCCCCGAGGAACCGCCCAGGGCGCTCAGCTCCGCGCCGCTGGGGTCGCCCTTCGCCGGTCCGGGTCCGGGTCCGCCCGCCGAGCGCCCCGGCTGCGGGGAGCAGCCCCGCCTCGTCCCAGCGCCGCGAGACCCCCAAAGGCCGAAGGGCCAGGAGCCCCGGGAGGCGCGCCCGGCGCCCGCCGCCCCCGCCGCCCGCCGCCCGCCGCCCGCCGCCCGCGGTTGCTACGTTCAACACACCCCGCCGCGCTCCAGGCTAATTGGGCCCCAGGTGCGGCTCGGGCTGTGCCCGCGGGGGACGCCCCACTCCTCGCCTGGTTCCGCCTTAAAGGAACACGCCCCCATTTCCCCTGCGCTTGGAGCCTCGCAGATCCCATCCGAGAATCCTGGCTCCAAAAGGTTCTGGAACTTACCCAACCTGACAAGCTCGCACGTGCTGAGGTCAGGTCACCTCTCTGATGATAGGGAAGGTAGGTAGAAAGGTGTACTTGGGCGAATGAGCTTGAAACAGCAGCGCCCACCTCCCTACCCCAGGGTGCTGCTCAAAGGGTGGGGTGGGAGCGACAGCGAGGTGCGCCACCCACGAACCTGCAAACAAGACTGGCTCTGAGAGCTAAAGTAGTAAGACCCACGCACACCTATTTAAACACCTGTCGGAGTGAACCAAGAGACTGTGTAACTCAAATGTTTGAGAACTCAAATTATAATCGGAACGACTACAAATTCAAAGACAGATACGGAAGGCAATGTTTTTTATTAAGTAGAATAAATTGTATTTTACTTAATCTGAAAATCATATGTGAAAGGTAGAGTGTATGGGTGCGAGCATCCAAAGGGGTGTGGGGTCAGTGTTGAACAGAGTAAAAAATAAGATACTGCAGCCAGGCGAGGTGGCTCATACTGTAATCCCAGCACCGGGATTGGGAGGTGGGAAGATTGCTTGAGCCCAGGAGTTCCGGACCAGCCTGGGCAACAATATAGGGAGACCCCATCTCTACAAATATTAAAAAAAAAAAAAAAAAAAGCCGGGCGTGGTGGTGCATGCCTGTAGTCACAGATACTCAGGAGGCTGAGTGATCACTTGGGCCTGGAGTGAGCTGTGATCGCACCACTGCATTCCAGCCTGGGAGGTAGAGTGAGACCCTGTGTCAAAAAAAAATAGTAATGAGATATTGACGGAGTTTGTCCAGTAATATTCAGGGGAGGATCTCAGGAGATACATTTCCTGATTTGGGGTAGGGAAAAGAGATGAATTAAGTCTGGCAGTGAATAAACTGACATTCATCCTTATATACTTGAATCTTTTGTAAGCTATCAAACTGGAGTCTGAGCCACGGTAAACTTCTGTAGTAATGCTAAGTTTTGCGTTATTTGGAGGCAGTTAACCAGTCTTCTGCTCGTGATGTCCGGTAACGATCCCTTTTCCACATCTAACTGCCACCAACAAACATGTACCGGGCACTTGTCTGCTTCAAGATTGCATTAAGCACAGACGTGCAAAGAGCAGTTCTCTTCCCAGAGCATGGAATAATCCGCTTCACGTCATATGCCAAGTGTCTGGTGAGTGCCCTAGAAAACAAGCACAGGTGATGGCAGCCATCGTGGTCAACATTCGCTTGGGGACAGCAGAGCATTTGTATGCCTAAGGGAAGTAAGAGACATGGGTGACTAGGGTCAGATTTTAAAGGGCCTTGGATGTTCAGAGAGGCGAGATCACGCAGTCGTCAGCGTGTGAAGCACCAGCACAGTGAAGAATCAAAATGAGAGAAAGAGGGAATTAAGAACGGACATCTCTGAGAGCAGCAATGGTAACAAGAGGGAGAGGGCTGGGGGCAAACCAGGGAAGCAGTGCCAACTCCATCACAATGCAGAGACACCAGCAACAGGCTGCTGTTGAACCATGAACTTTTCTCGTGCTCTCTTGTTCCTCTTATGCAGCAACTCACCAGGTAGCCTCGGAAGTCTGGACGTTCCATCCAAACACTGGACTGTTTTCATACAGCACTCATTCAGGACTGCAAGGCAGTTTCCCCCAGATTTTTTATTTATCATATAAGGATCTTATTCTGATTCATGGAGTAATTAAATCCTTATTATATCAGGTCACTTTCAATGCAAATAGAAGTCATTTCTAGAGTATGTGCTTTCAGTGAGTAAGCTGCTAGTCATTCCATTGAATCTGAACATATGTAACTTGAAATAACAGCAAGGGAGGGCCACTGTGGAGCAAAGCTTGAGTCAGCTCACCTAGATCCTTGGGGGTAGCACTTGTTTGCTGCCAGAACTCAGGATTCCTGATATTTCAGACCCAGAAATCTGATTGGCCCAGCACCTTCACAGCTGACCAGTGTCTCTCAGTGTGGAGCCCCACTAACCTGACTCATAAAGCACTGATGCCGTGTTGCATCCTCTGCTCTTTCCCCATAAGAGGAATCCCTTTAGGACCAAATTAATTCCAATGATTGTTAGGTGAGCGTGGAATCAAAGCAAAGGAAAGGAATCATGGTTCACATACTGGAGGCATTAACCATTAGAACCAAACACCCTTCTTCTTCAGGAGCAACGGTTCCTGAACAGTGGTGCATTCATGCCGCTGTCTTGGGCTCTCTGATTCTAGATCTTTCCATGTTTCCCTTAATAACCACTTCTCTTCTGTGGACATACTTTTTTTTTTTTTTAAAGTATACAGACAGATGCTGTTAATAAAGCTAGAGAGGCTGGGTGCAGTGGCTCACGCCTGTAATCCCAGCACTTTGGGAGGCCGAGGTGGGTGGATCACTTGAAGTCAGGAGTTCAAGACTAGCCTGACCAACATGGAGAAATGCTGTCTCTACTAAAAATACAAAAATTAGCTGGGTGTGGTGCTGGGTGCTGTTATCCCAGCTACTTAGGAGGCTGAGGAAGGAGAATCGCTTGAACCCAGGAGGCAGACGTTGTGGTGAGCCGAGATCGCACCATTGCACTCCAGCCTGGGCAACAAGAGCGAAACTTCGTCTCAAACAATAATAATAATAATATAAAAAATAAGGCTAGAGAACAGCTGCATACCCTTCCAGATCCCGGCCTTGAAAGCATTCTGTGTCTAAGGTGTGTTTGCATGTGGCCCAGCTGTGGGTACATTTGAGTTGTGGGCCCCCAGAAGATGTGTTGAAGTCCCACCCCCAGTTCATGTGAATGTGATCTTATTTGGAAATAGGATCTTAACAGATGTAATCAAGTTAAGCTGAGGTCATTAAAATGGGCCCTTGTCCAGTACGACGGGTATGCTCTTAAGAAGAGGGGGATGTGGGCACAGACACACGGGGAGCACCATGACAGAGGCAGAGGCTGGAGTGAAGTGGCTGCAAGCCGAAGGGCGCTACAGGCTGACGGCCACGACCAGACGCTAAGAAGAGGCAGGGATGACTCCTCGCCTACAGGTCCTCACAAACACCTCAGTTAGGACTTCCCGTTTCCAGAACTGTGAGAAAAAAAATTTTGTTGTTTTAAGCCACCCAGCTTATGGCACTTTGTTATGGCAGTCCTAGGAAAGATCCATGACTGGGGTATTAATTAATTTTGGGTTACTTCAAGATCATAGTGTCTTGCTTGTGCCTCTGTGAGAGTCTTTAGTGGGTAAATTCACTCTAAAAAGCTGGCTACAAATTGAAATGATAATCGTAATTGTTTTAAATCTATAGGGAGAATGACAAGAATCATAAAAAGGAGATGGTGGTGGTGGGGAAGATGTATCATCCTTGGTTATGGTAGTAGACGTAGCATTCTGACCAGCCAGCCCCATGAAGAAGGCACACGGAAGGAATAGTGGATCTTTTCCTTTGGAGGGCCTTCCTTTGAAAATGACCTATAATTGCAAACACAATAAGCCATTCTTAGCAAGTTGTCCACCCTTTTGTACCCATTGTTCATCCATCAACAGCCTTTCATAGACACAGCCAGGCTTCCCTGTTAATTACCAGCAGCATGTCATGCTCAGAACATGAGCCTCAGGTGATGTGGTCGGGCTCAAGCAGGATCAGGCAATGAAAGTAAATACAGTAAACAGTTAATCTTTCTTTCTACTGATTTTATATAGACTATTAGAAATGTCAGGGTAAGGCCCGGCGTGGTGGCTCATGCCTGTAATCCCAGCACTTTGGGAGGCCGAGGCGGGCAGATCACCTGAGGTTGGGAGTTCAAGACCAGCCTGACCAACATGGAGAAACCCCGTCTCTACTAAAAATACAAAATTAGTAGGGCGTGGTGGCACATGCCGGTAACCCCAGCTATTTGGGAGGCTGAGGCCGGAGAATTACTTGAACCTGGGAGGTGGAGGTTGCAGTGAGCCGAGATCATGCCATTGCACTCCAACCTGGGCAACAAGAGTAAAACTCCATCTCAAAAAAAAAAAAAAAAAAAGAAAAGAAAAGAAATGTCAGAGTAGTGCTTTATGTGATAAAATTATTCTGCTTATATTGATTAACAATTTCATTGATTGTCTTTCTGATGTGTATAATAACGCTCGGCTACATAATGGAGAAAGTATTAGGAAATTATGACCATGTTGCTATGAAGAAAAGTGTTTTGGAAACCTGAAAGTTAAAACAACCTAAGTAATTAATCTGTTTAAGACGTTAAATCTCCTCACTTAGCATGACACCAGTATTTTACAAAGAAAAATACTGTCGATTTTTATTATAAAAATGTCAAACTTCTGAACAATGAGAAACATTTGTTGATTCAACAAACATTTACTAAGCACTACAGCAGACAGGCGGACTGTGGGTCTGAACTGTGTAGGCTCATGGTCTGTTTTTGCCACTAAACACCACCAAGACTTCTCTCTGTTCTTTAGTTTCCTCGGCTGTACTTATCTGAATGGTGCCTTGTAAGAGTTATATTAACTAATACATGTGAGGTCACTGGAACAGAGCATAGCACTTGGCAAATTCTCAGTAGATGTTAGTTTTTATTATATATGACCCCAGGTTACATTGAATAACTAGAGAAAAAGATCTAGAAGGAAATTATAGCTACATTTGCTTCCAAGTTTATTCCTTTTTGTATAATGTGAACAAAAATTTGTTGGCAACAAATGTGCATTATTTGTTTTCAGTGA